TAGTAGAATTAACCATGTTTGCTACTATCTAAAAATATGCGAAGTATATATATGTCTGGTGTGTGACCACTTATTGATTATTCTATTGTGTGGTTATATAAACGGATTTAAATTATTTTCACTTTTATTCTAACTACTATTATAGGCTTTCTAATATATATGGTGTCTTGAAAATAATTTTTATTTCGGTGTTTTATTTAAGTGTTTGTATGTGTTATATTCACTTGACAGGAATATAAATTTATATGAAGTTCAATTTTTCAATATCCATTTGAATAAGTTTATGAATTATTTTCTAACAACATAGTCTTTGTAGAAATTTTTCACAGCTCAGTGGTTTATAGTCATTTACGAACTTCCTTTGTCTTTAAAATAATATGCTCAAAGTGATGTGTGTGATGAAAGAAACCCTAAATGTACTTATTTATTATTGTTACTGTTTATCGCTAACATCGGATAAGAGTTACGCTAAAATCTACATGGCTAGATTCTGTTACACTGAGGTGAATTTATCAGAATTAATCTATTTTATTTCCATATAAACAGAGCACTTCTCTTATTTTCGGCCATCATAGCACATTTTCTATTCGGTTCTGTAGAATCAAGTTTGTGATGATTCACAGAAACAATGTTTTTTTTCTAAAAAATGTTATCTAATTTACGTCAGTCAGTAACAACGTACGAAGTTCTACGTTGTTACTGACTGACTGACTGAATTTACGTATACAATCAAGTATTCATATTACTATAATGACTTAAGACGTAGCTCTATTAGTGCAGATCGGAAATTGATGAATCTTTTATAACTAATTGAAATAGAAGGGGAATTTTCCTAACATGCCAAGAAATTCGTATATAACGCTTTATCAATATATATCCAATTTTAAATATTATCATATAGTTTGAACTTGTGTGTTTTTCTACACCCAAGTTCATTTCTGAAACCTACTTTAATTAAACAATCTTATGCTTATTTTTCTCGGATAATCTAGATCATTTCGAATTATCAGTACATTTAAGATTTACAGATTAATCTTCCTCTAATATTTATTTTATCTAAATATTACTGTTTACAGAGCTGTTGAAGGGAAACACAGAAATGTGTCCAATGTTTAGAGTTTTCCCCACAGTTAGCTTAGTTAAATGGTGATTTCATTTTCCTTACCACTAAACTTTCATTCTTAATATAGTCATTGAAGTTTTATTTGTTCCAACCAATTCCCATAATTTGAATCAAAGTAGATTCATTGTATGGATACTTTGATATTGATTTCGCTTCTGTATTGTTATTGCCTTTAAATACCAGTCTACAAAACCGACCGGTCGTAAATAAAATAAATTACGTATCATCGATTGTAATCCAAACCTTTTCTAAAAAGTATTGTTATCGTTTACACGTGTATTCAGTGGTCAGGACTATTGCCTTGGTTTCCAAAATATGGCATATATAACTCTGCCTATATAGGTTACTTTCATTCTGTTATTTACTGCAATTCATACGCCTGATTGCAACACATGCTACCATATATATATATATATATATATATATATATATATATATATATATATATATATATATATATATATGGAATTGCTTTTTGAGTGGATATTTTTCATAACTCCCTTTATTGATTCGTCTTTAGTTACTTTATTGTAATGATTATTTTTGTACTATTACAAATCTGTACGTATATTCACCCATCAGGACTTTAGTAACGGTTTGGATTTTGATTTAAAAGTTCATAAAAACCAAAGTATGTATTTAGTGGTTAAACAGATAGATAAGTGATTTATTTGATGGTTAAGTCAACTTTTTGTTAATGTAACCAATTTCTTATTAGAAGGAAATAATAATGTTAAATTTAAGATCTGTGAAATAAGTTGATTAGTTTTTATTAATAACATGTATAATATCCGAGCTATTGCTGTTTATAAATTAATTTTGAAGAGTGTGTTATACTTGTGGAATCAGTTTTTCAACCTATTCTCTATCAGTTTCGTTAAATAATTATGCTTGTTAAAATTTGATGAGCATGAAAAAAGTGAAATGCATATTGGTATCTACCTGACATAACTTAGTTGACGTTACATTTACTTATTTATCAATTTCCGTCAAATTGTATTTATAAGTGACATTCTTTTCGATACATTCTGATTTATTGTATGTAAGTTCGTCGTTATTCTATCTTAGGTGAGAATAATTCACTACATAATTATCGGCTTTCGCTTTTTCTATTATATCAACCTAATTCCATGTATCTAGTCAAAATCATTTTCAAAACATTACTCATAAATATACGTAAATCTCAAGTTTAAAATAGGGTATACTCGGCTATTAAAAGATTGAAAGCTAAATGGATGATGCGGTTGCGTTGAGTTTGAATCCCGGAGTAAATGTCAACTGTATAATGGAGGTTCATCCAGCTGCCACGTCCCAAAAGGGGCGAAACAAGCCTCATGGATTCCACTGCTAGCCACCGTCCATCCCTCAGAAAAATGCCTGTGACGTAATGGTAATATGAAGGTAATCTGCACCCAACCTCAAAATTACTTACTTTTATCATCCCCTTATTCATAACCAATGTTTTCAAAATCAAATACTCATAACCAACGTATCTATTCATAATATATCTTGTTTTACAACAATTTATGAATGATTCATTCAATCAATTTTGATTTGAACTTAACAGTACCAGCTTTTATTTCCATCACTATCAATGTCGTAGATAATGGAATGTTTTACCGTAATAGTTGGCTATATTTTACGCAGATGTAAAAAAATTGTCATTTTCACTTCACTAATTCTATTTGTCTATAATTTATTGTACCATGAATAAAGAAATTTGTATTTCTGTAAAATGTGTGCGAAGCTGATTCTTAGCTACCCAGAATAAATTAGTAGACTAATTAATTCACTCAGGTGCTCTAAATCGATAACTATTGAATATTTTGTGGGTGTAGTTATTTATAGCCATATATTTAATATAATTTTTATGTAACAGAAAATATTTCGAACCTAACGCCTGGACATTTTCGTTGACTTTGACTATAGCTTGAGATCTCCGTTAAATTGAATTTTCATGTCTAGCCATTCAACGTTAATAATCCTCTTTTTTGGGGGGAGGGGGAGAAAGTGAGCAATTTGAGGATGTTTAAACCCATTACTTAATAGAAATGAAAGATAGCTAATTGATAAATAACTAGTCAACTAACTGACAGTATTTTTTACAATTCGGATGACTAACAATACTTACTATTATTCATACTTCTCAATGCGAGTAAAAGAGAATTAACGAGTGTCATTTCTCTTTTGTGAAGAGATGAATAGAAAAATAGGGAAATGAACACTATTACCGCACAGTTATATAACTAATTGTTGTAAAATTAAACGTAAGACTAAGTTGACTGGTTCTTGGTTGCAACAAACCATTACCAATTACAGTTCACATTAATAAAGGCAAATGATCAAGGGCCCATATCAGTAAGGTTGACTAGTAAAAAGGCTCATATAGGTAGTTTGTATTCCCTGACAGTTGCAAATATCATTTCGTTGTAAGTGAAAAGATATTGCTTAGACTTCTCTACTGCAGAACCCCATACTAATTATTAAATAGGTTAACTAGATTCTCAGCTTGGCTGTTCCAAATAGATATATGAGATAACATGACTGGGGTTATCAAGAATAACAAATTGTTACTGAACTCAAAAATCTACAGTAGATCCTACACTGAGTGTTTAAAGAACTACGTTTTTGATCGGCCGCAGAGGTAAGGGGACAGATGATAGACCGAACAAATTTTAAACCCATAAAAATGTTGTTCCCTCTTTCGATGCCCACCTTTTCAGTGATCGCCTCTTGATAGTCACTCTTATGAATCCTTACCATTGTTGGTATACGACCTTTTTCATTCACCCTTGTGCTCGGGCTTTTATTACTAGATAGCATCAGTTACGTCCTTAAATAACCTTAGGATGAAACCGTGAGCTATTGGGTATAGACTAAATGGAATTATAGTAGTTGGATTCATGAGTCTATCTAAGCTAGACCATTGAAAACCTGGAAGCACTAGACGACCGTTTCGTTCTAGTATGGGACTCCTTAGCAGTGCACATCCATGGATCCCACGTGCGGAACTCTAGCCTAAATCGACTCATGAATTCAGCTACTAAAATTACTACAATCTCCACAAATCCCCACTCTGATAAATTGAATTAGTCTACCTGTGTTTGTGATATAATAATATGATATATTCTGAAAAATGGTTACAGAATGTAAGTCAATTTAAATGGGCGGTCGAGTTAATATGAATTAACAGACAATAATAGTAATAATAATCCTACACACCACAAAAAAAACAACTTCTAGACTGCTTCTAAATTAGCGTTTATTACAATCCTGTTTATAGTGGGAAATGTAAAACTTATCCCATTAAGTAAAGAGTTCATACAAATTCTTTGTGGCTAGTGTTGTATTTATTGAATATACATTCCACTGAGGTGAGTCATCCGAAATCAGTCCTGCTATCGATTGGGTGTCATATAGTTTTACGGTAGTTGTTTAGTTGATATTCAGATCATAAAGTGTTATGTGATATATCTCTATTTTAAGGTTTTTCGTTGAAAACAGTTTAATATAAAACATGAAAACTGTCATCTCGCATTCCTATGAATAGGTAATTAGATAGGTTTTGATTGCTAAACTTTGGAAAATCACTTAGTTTCTGGATTACAATTACCTAGTGCCCAAAAAGCTAGATAAATAAATTATGACTTCCAGTAGGGTAATATAAACGTGTGAATCGTAATTCCTCTCTTCTTACCACACTTATTAGCTACCTGAAGTATTTTCAATGCTAACCCAATCAGTCATTCATTAAATTAATCATATTCTAATTAACTTTTTCATCATATTCCATGAAAATGATTTAGATTAGAATTGTTTTTTAGTACTTTTATATTATTTATTTATTGCAATATTTATATTCTTTCATGTTTTGTAGAGGTGATCGAGTTTCCCCTGCGATTCATATATTGAATGAACCACATGGTTCTAACCCACGATCATCATATGTCCGTGGAAATGCATCCCCTCAAAATTCTGCTTTTCGAGTAGGTTATTTTTCGTCATTTTTTCTATATATTTCTGTTATGTTATCCTTAGAAAATAAGATGGTTTATTTACTACTTAGCTTCAAATTGAATATCTTGAACTGATACCAAATAAATAATCACAAGAACCAGAGAACACTGGACATCAATCCTATACTACTTTGAGACTTCCTGATAGTCGATATCCACGACTAGATACAACATCGAAATCTACACCCTTCAAGTATTACAGTCAGTCAATTACAACCTGGGACCAAGCACATATATGCACCGGTCCAAGTCACCACACCTCATTAGCACAACAAGATGATCACCAAATTTATAGAAATAGTCACTTCAGTGGTAGTAATGTTTAAAAGAAAGATCGTGTATAAGGATATGATACACGAAGGAAGAATGAATTCATAGAAAGATAGATATAAAGTAATTTTAATCTCACGGTTTAAGGGAAGACAAAGAGCGTATACACCGACGCCATTGTGATCGACTCTGAGCCATGTTACTCAGAGTCTCAAACCATTGGTTACGATTGTCACGCGGACCCCAACCAAGTAGTCTGCATCTACCAACATGGCTCAGACTAGAAGTCAGTGACTGATGCTACGTTTTGGTTTGGTCAACCCTAACTTTCTTCCAAACGTCTCCAACACTGGTCAGCATTACGTGTCGTGGCAATCGGTGTTCAGGCATACGCAACACGTGGATCAACCATGTCAGTCGGTGAAGATTTACAACCTCATTAACTGATTTTCCATCATCCCCTAATACCCTCTGTCTAACCTCACTATAACTTACCCGGTGATCCCAGCAGATGCGAGCAATATTTCTAAGACATCTGTGATCAAACACTAGTAACTTACGAGTATCTCTTACTTTTGATGGCTACGATTCTCAGCCTTAAAGTAGAACAGAACAAACTGCTGAGTAGCATACTCGTCCTTTTATCGATGGACAGATATTTTTCCTTCACTTTAGTTGACGTAAGTTGGTAAAAGCTAAACGACTTTAATGAATCCATGCGGAGTTTTCGTCAGATACCAACCCATTAGGGCTGATAAGACTTTCATTATAAGTGAATTTGTCGATGCGTCCGACTACTTCACTCCCTATCCTTAGTTCAGGTGTTGACGCAGGCCGGTCCTAAAACAACAACTTGCATGAAGCGGGGGGGGGAACGCATCCCAAACATCCTGACATTGTTGCTCAGTGCTACCAAAAGACTCTGCATTTTATCAACGTCTTCACCAAACAGGACTATGTCATCTGCGTACTCGAAGTCGATCAGTGGACCTGCCCGATAATTCAGTCGACGAAAACGTTATTTCCATCAGTAGGTCTATGATGAAGTTAAACAAGAATGGCGAAAGTGGACAGCCTTGACGGACACCACTTGAGGTTGCAAAATTAGATGACAGTTCGCCATAAGCTCCGAATCTACTGGTAGTGTTCGAGTAAAGAGCCTCTACAAAGTTTATGTACTTCTGAGGTACACCTTTCAATGACAGACACTGCCCCAGAACCTGTTGGTCTACAGAGTCAAATGCTGCTTTCAAGTCAAGAAGAACTGTCATTGTCGGACGCCGATAAGTATGCCTGTGTTATAAGATCTGACGAATGGTGAATTTGTGATGGATGCAGCCACGACCAGGTCTGAAACCAGCCTGATTTTCTCGTGTTTGCAGTTCACGAGTCTTTGTTAAGCGTCCGATAATTATCGAGGCTAATATTGCAGATGCTATATTAGTCAAACTAATCCCAGGGTGGTTTTGACAATCAATGATTGTGACCAGTCAAATAGAATTACGTCCAACTCCCAGATTTTAGGTAAAATATCAGTCAACCTAACTGCTAAAACTGGACCACCATACTTAAAGACCTCTTGAGTCAATCCATCTGGACCAGTTGCCCTTCCTCGTTTCAGACTAGCTATAGCTATTTGAACTTCAATTACAGTCGGGGGACCTATTTCAATGTTCTATTCAAACTGTTGAAATGGTGAGTAGCTGAACGACAGCCGAAATGCTCCTCAAAGTGTTTCGCTCATCGTTCTAAACGTCTGGACTGAGAGCAGATAAGAGTGTCGTCTTTTTCCGAGATCGCCTCACACTTGACTTCCTAATTCCAGTTTCTTTTATTAGTCTGAAAAGCTTTCTAGTGTTACCTACAGCCGCTGCCTTTTCCATTTCCTTCGCTTTGGTTGCTTGCCATTGTTCATGATCCTCTAGCAAACTTCTGGTTAAACTAGATCTGATTTGTTTTCGATTTTTATCGTGTTTGGAGCTAGATGGGATAAGTTTACGAGAACCTATCAATGCAATAGACTTAGTAGAAATCCACTGGTTTTTCGTAACCCTTTGGTTTAAATCACTAATAGATGTCGCTGCTGTTTCCACAGCTGCTCGTATATCTTTCCAAGCAACATCTGGGTCGGCCTCGTTTTCAGAACCATCTAAGTGTGACCTCAGTTGTCCCTGGAACCTACTTTTGGTTTTCTCGTTACTCGATTCGGTTCTAATGGGTCTTTTTACTGTGGCTTTTTTGCGTCCGGTGAGGCACAAGCAAACACGTGCCCGTATTAGAGCATGGTTGGAGTCCAAGCAGGTATTCCAGAATGAGAGAAAATCTTCTATCGACCCTCTCCAACGATGACCGGTGGCAATATGGTCTATTTGAGTCCATCGTTGGTTTGGTGTAGGGGGTTGCTATGTTAGACGATGTCTCTCCTTATGCTTAAAATTTGTTTGCTAAAAATAAACAATTGTCTGAGCACAATTACAGTAGACGATCATCATTATCTGTTAGCTGGACCGGAATACCGAAATACCCACCTAAATGTCTTTCTCTTTGGTTTAAGCTACCTATCTGGGCATTAAAGTCACCTCCTACGAGTACTATGTCTGTGTGTTTAGCTTTTTGAAGAATTTCAGAAAGCTTTCTGTAAGATTCATCTTTCATTTCATCCAGGCTGCAGTCAGTAGGAGCGTAGGCAAAACGACGGAAAGGCGCGGCCGTAGTACCCATGGGCAACTACTTAGAGTTGGTCACACACGACCTTTTTGTAATTTCCGTGTTAGCTCCGTAATTGTTGAGACCCTACCTCCGGAGACGGATATCCGTGGGATAAGACGAGGTGTGCATTTTTAGGGTCGGTTTTTTCTAACCCCACCCCACATTGTGGGGAGGCAGCATCGCTGTTATGCTGGTTGTCTGAAGGAAACACCTTACTGCCGCCACACCTTTTTGTAGTCAGCAGTACGACTTCGCTCTCGGGCCTTGGGTTCGCTGCTTTTAGTCTTACTGCTCTTCAACCGACCTGTCTGGCATAGTAGGACCTTGAGGAACGATTGTTTCAACCAGTATTGCCCGATTGGTTTATTAGGATAGACCAGCCCGACCACCACGTTAAGGTAGCAGCAACGGTTAGGTGTTCGTAGATGCTCCTAACATCGTATTCCGTTAACACAACTGTATGAGATTCATTAGTATCAGTCTAGTATTATCTGGTTATGTAGTAATAGATCAAAGAGATCGGTTTACTGTATTCTGTGAACAAATACTCAACTATTTCTACCTAATAACCCTCCTTAACTAACGATTTGCAATCCATGCGATGACCTCAATCATTGGTTGAAAACTTAAGATGAAATGGGTTGGATATATTCATTCTTTATCTTCCCATAGATTTTGAGTTTCAACATTCTCTTATACATATATTTTCACTCTTTTTATTACCATATTCCCAATTTTCAATCTTTCTTACTATAATTTCTAAAACATTTTGCGATTCCTTTGTTATTAATCTTGTTAATTCCTTGTCGTTGTGCTATTGTGGTGTGGAAATTTGAGCCAAACTATTTTTCTTAGTCTCTGCATTGATTATGAACGAATGACGAGCTAAAAATCCATTTTGTTAGGAATCGAAGTAAGGCGGTAAGATCTTTAGGATTTATAGTCCGTTGTCTAATGCTGTTAAGATGTTATCTAATGAAAGATAATTGTTGCGACATTCAGCATCCCTACTTCTTTATCTTGCTTTAACAGGGGTTAATTATTTGGGGACTACTGTTCATAAGTTTGTTACATCCTTTGAACCATTGACGCATAAATTACTTTTACGATTTTTATCAGAAGGGGTTTGTGGAGATTTTAGAGATTTCACAGATTGAAATCATAAGTCAATTGAAGCTAGACCACCATGGAAAACCTGAAAGCACTGGACGGCCGTTTCGTCCTAGTATAGGACTCCTCAGCAGTGCGCATCCACGACCCCGCACCCCGCGAGACTCGAACCCAGGACCTATCAGTTTCGCACTAGGCGCTCAACCAACTAAACCACTGAGCCGGCATTCAATGGTGTTAATGCCTAACTTCAACCGATTTTAACAAAAGACTGTGTTCTGTATTCAATCAAATTAGTACGTTTCCATTCAGTGCTTGTAAGGCATAGATTCTATAACCCGACTATATTCGACTAGTCTTTATAATAAATTATTCACCCGACATTAAAACATTTTAATATTTTTCTATTTATTAGGAAGAATTGAACTCAAAACTACGAATTCGCCCTGGTCATAATCTTCCACCTAGAATAACAACAATTGCTAAGTCTGTTGAAAGTTCCGATAGTTTAATTTCAAATGAATCCTCTTCACCACATCAAAAACATTTAAGTAGTCCATATTCACCTCCCCATAGTACTCACGTTTTTGCAACAACCCCACCAAATAGTACACATGAGTCTATCAGTTCAACTCCATCATCCGCTGGTGCCTCAGATTTAGTCAGTTTACAGCATAAATTAGCTGTCAGTAGACCTAGAAATCGTCGTCCACCATCAAAAACTTATCGTCGTACATTGAATAAAACGGATGAAAATGTTGTTGGCTTCTTTTCTTTATCACCCAAGCATGTATCGACTAATAATAATTTCTTTTCAGTTTCTAATCCTCAACTGGGTCTTATAAAAGAAGAAAGTGAAATAATACATCAAATAAGTGAAAAACCACCTCATCAAAAAATATCTAACACTCATCTACCCACTGAAATATTAACTGTAAATACTGTTGAATCGATTATTGAGAATTCTGATTCAAATAAACTTGATTCTTCACTTTCAGGACTAAATTTAAGAGGCAGGTTAGTATATGGATTTTTTTTCAATGCTATACATTGTTTATATTAAAGTACACTTAGTTTTCACAAACAACTTGCACTTTGATGTATTGTAGAGTAATGACACCTTATTCCTTAAGGCATTTTCTTTCAATTAGTAGGTTGCAATTTTCGAACTTTGCTCCATCCTACATTTGTATGGATAACGGAAGAGTATCACTAGCGTGTAGGAGGGTAGCATGGCTTAAAACTACGTAAATTTTTGTTTGTTTAATGAAATTATTTTTACATTACATTTACTTTTTCAGTAAAAAATATACAATCAATAACATTTCTGTTGTGTTGTGTAATATTTTGTTTAGATACAGATACTCAATCTTCCTATACATAAGTCAACCTGGCTAGTCATGTGAGAAGAATTAGAAGGAAGTTTATTGACTAAACCGAGTCGGTGACATATGTACCTCATATATATGTCCCTTAAAAAGTTAAGCCACTAATGGTGTATGTCTCATACCCTAGAAATGCAATCCGTTTCTTAGCCAATCATTTACCCGATCTCTGATTAACCCAATATATTAATTTTCCCTCCTAAGAGAAGATAGGTGTGATATCTCAGATTCAGCTGTTGGAATCGGAGTGGGGACACATCAGTTTCGTTCATCCTACTATCATATTTGTGACTGTTTAAGTTGTTCACTAATTTAATCTTATGTTGTGATTGCTCTTGACCCAAAATGTACAAGGGGTATATATGTATTGATTTTTGGATGGTTAACTCTGTTATATTTTGTTGAAGAGTGCATATCACTTTCCATTGTTCAATGAACTCATCGTAGTTGAAATACAAAGTCTTATGAGTAATTATGACGCATTTTGGTGGTAGTGTTTGAATTCATTTTCACGAAAATATTTTTATAACTATTACGTAAATGTAAGTCTCTGAAAATTATCTCTGTAAAAAGCGAAACTTTAATAATCACAGTTACAATAGCATACTTCACCATTAAACAACTTTGTATATAATAGCTCCAATAATATTCCATAGCTTATTTACTAAGTACATATTTATGCAATGTTTATAAAATAGTGATGATTTGCTTAGTAAAGTGAGATTGTTTATTAACTAAAACTTTTCTAAAGACTATATGATGTGTAATAAATATTCTGTGTATTAGATGCAAATTCGAAGATTGTTATTATGTTACAAAAGCATTAATAGGATCCATATCTGTGAAAGTACTTCAGAGAGTTTGATCACAACCCGACATATGCGATGGACAATTATGAATTTATCAATAGTGTTTCAGAAATGACCTCACTTTTATTATAGATGTTATTTATTTATTTATTTATTTGGACACATGAATATTGGTACAAGAGAGCGCCAATATATATGCGCCACACAAAACAATGAAAATTCGAGAAGAATACAAAGAAAGAAAAAAAAAAAGCTAAGGAGCGCAACAAAAAAAGAGAGAGAACAATAACGAAGAGATTGGTGTAAGGTAATGTGCTAGTAATCAGGGAACGCAAAGGTACAATCGGAAGAAATCTTTCAGGTAAGGGAGACACAACCACTTTTTATGAAGAAAGTAAAAGAAGGTTACAGCAGGATCGCCACTGGCTTCTATTCTGAGCCATATCTGATAACGTCTCTAGCCACTGTGTAGCACCATCTCTCAGACCCCAACCAGGGAGTCGTGAAGGACCAACACAAGCCAGTCCTTTGCAGCTTTCTTTCATGCCACGACACCATGTCATGCACTGACCACCTCTCCGCTTCTTCCAACCAGTCCCAGAGTCGGCAAATAATGCACGACGTGGAATTCTCTGGGACGACATTCGGAGAACATGTCCAAGCCACCGAAGTCGGTGTTTCAAGATGGTGACACCAATTGAATTATCATCTCTGTGCCCGAACACACGATGCCGAACCTCTGCATTACTGACATGGTGTTGCCACTGAATGTCAGCAATCCTTCGGAGACAGCGATGATCGAACACAGAGAGTCGTCTAACGTCCTCAACTCGGAGAGGCCAGGTTTCACAAGCATAGAGCAAAACTGCTCTCACCGACGCGTTGTAGATCCGACCTTTTACAGCCAGACTAACATCACGAAGGCGCCAAAGGTGGCCCAGATTGGCATAAGCCGCTCTGGCTTTCACTATACGTGCATTGATCTCATCACTCACACCCCCACCAGCACTTATGCAGCTACCCAGATACACGAACTTCTCGACTACGTCTATCTGCTCACCATCCAGGGTGAGTACAGGATTGGAATCCTGCCAGTCTTGTAGAAGTACTTTGCACTTCGAAGGTGCAAAGCACATACCATACCTACGGACACTGATTGCCAACTGATTAAGTGCGGATTGCATGCCTTGGGCATTATCGCACAGTAAGACAATATCGTCCGCATACTCAAGGTCGAGAAGTCTTTCTCCAGGCAACAGATCCACACCACCATTACTTACATTCATCAGAGCTGTTTCCAGAATGTCATCGATGGCAAAGTTGAAGAGGAATGGTGAGATTGGGCAACCCTGCCTAACCCCACTGCTCGAATGGAACAATGGAGAGAGGTGGTTGTATGCCCTCACTCTGCCTGAGGTGTTTTTATATAGGGCTTTTAGGATGTTAATAAACTTCTCAGGCACACCCTTCTTCAATAGACAATCCCAGAGAACAGTCCTGTCCAACGAATCGAAGGCAGCCCTGATGTCAAGAAACACTACGATTGTTGGCCTTTGATAAGTATGGCGGTGTTCTAACATTTGGCGGAGGGTGAAGATATGATCAATACATCCTCGACCAGAACGAAACCCAGCCTGCTCCTCGCGAGTCAATCTTTCTCGGGTTTTGAACAACCTACGAAGTATGACGGAAGCCAATAGCTTGGACGCAATCGGAAGTAGACTTATCCCCCGATAGTTGTTACAGGAACGACGTGAACCCTTTTTAAAGATAGGGACAACTATCGACTCATTCCATGACGTTGGTACACTCTCTAGTTCCCAAACCTTTGTAAACAACGTCGTCAATTCCTTAGTCAAAAAGTCACCACCATCTTTAAAAAGAGCCGGAGGTAAGTCATCTGGGCCAGGTGATTTGTAACGCTTCAAGAGTTGGAGTTCCTTGCGGACTTCCTCCTCGTTTGGTGGATCAGTCGTCACCGGCCATGGAGGGCAGGACAGTCTGACCGATGTTGCCGGAGCAGCAGGCCAGTTGAACTGCCCTTCGAAAAATTCTGCCCATCGTCCAAGACGTCGATGGATGTTAGTGATTGGCATCCCATCATCCTCGCAGATTGTTTCACTCACACCAGACTTCTTGCTGCCAGTGGCTCGGATGAGCTGGAAGAGCTTCCGGTAGTTACCAGATGCAGCTGCTGCTTCCAGCTCATTAGCACGCTTCGACCACCAGGCTTCTCGGTCCTTACGCAAGCTTTGCCCAATTTCCTTACGTAACATCCTTCGTTTATGGTCAAACTCACGGTCACCCGGAGTAGACCGACGGGCTTCAATGAGTTGTAAGGAACCAGAAGAAACCCAGTGCTTAAAAGCGGGACGTTTCGCAAACCCACAACTGACTGTTCCCGCCATTTTCATGGCGTCATGCAATTGCAACCAATGCTCATCTATACTTTTCGGTGGAGTGGTAGCTAGCCTAGAGGCTAGCTCGGTTCGATACTTACTTGCAACAGAAGTTGCAACCAGCTTGCTAACATCAATCCGTTGATGGCGGTCACTTCGTTGTCCACTGAAAAGTAAGGCAAGATTGGCGCAGACCAAGGCATGGTCAGAGTCCAGATAGGTACTCCAAAAGGAGCGGCAGTCTTTACACAACCACGCCAGCGGTAGCTGATCGCGATGTGATCAATCTGAGTCCAGGCTTGAGATGCAGAGGGAGGACGCCAGGTGGCACATCGGCGATGACTGTGCCGAAAGTTAGTGCTAGCCAGAAACAGGTTGTGGTCTGTGCAAGTTGCAGTAGACGGTCCCCGTTATCTGACCTGCGACCAACGAGTCCCCATCGGCCACCTAAACGACTCTCTTCTGTGCCTAGACGCCCGACCTGAGCATTCAAGTCTCCGGCTAGTACTACAATATCTGTCGAACGCACTTTCTGGAGAAGAACAGATAACTGGTGGTAAAACTCATCCTTGATTGCATCCGGGCTGCAATCTGTCGGGGCATAGGCGGAGATGACGAAAAGACATCGTTTCTCACGCCGATTTCTTCTCACTTTGATGGAACTTTCTAATCTAACAGCACATAACCGACTGTTAATGGGGATCCAATCGACTAGTGCTGCCTCAGCTCTAGCGCTTAGTGCGACACCAACGCCAGCAAGACCAGACGAAGATGCCACAGGGTCCCCGGATAAGCGCACGTAAAACAAGCTTTTCGAAGCGACAGATGGAGATCGAATTTGTAGTACTTCGCCAGAGTCTTGAATACGGGTCTCGGATAGACAACAAACATCAATATTAAGACTTTCCAAAGACATAGCCAGCCCTATCTGTTGTCCGACCTGCATAAATGTGCGAACGTTGAAGGCAGCCAGTTTGAATGGTGCACGTGGTTTCAGAAAAACTGCTTCAGTACTCATATTCGGTGGTAACATACAATTTTCAACCGGACAGTGACTCGAGAACGTTTAGATACAGTCGGATTTCCACCAAAGACGAGCCGCTGTATAAGTATAAAAGAGGGTGAATAATGTGGAAAATAATAATAATAATAACAATAATAGTAATAATAATAGTATTAATAATGACAATAATAGTAATGATAATTATTTGAATCGATTGATTGTTTTTCGGAGCGAGAAAAGCAGTTGCCATAGACATAGAGTTCATCGTTTGTGTGTGGGCTGTGATACTGCCCGGGTGCCCAAACCGAAGCAGGTGGTTATCTTAGGGGGCCACTCCCCGAGCCTTTGACCTAAAGGTCTAACCCACAAGGCAGTGGAGCATCGTAAGGAGATGCAATCCCATGGTAGCCGGTGACCAACG